TTGTCAACACATACTTCGAGAACACATACACTCACCCTGTCACTTAAATGCATGTGCCCACAAAAAGAAACACACAAGCTTGCATAAACAAACACACATGCAAGTCACACATGGTGTTCTCACCGCAAGTACACATCCACACATAAATTATTTATACATGTAGAGAGGGAGATGAAGAGAATGTTCACTTAAATCAGCGCACTGAAAGATGCACGGTGCATGCTAAACTCATACATACAGATGGTGCAGCAGAGAGGAGGGAGAGAGGGCCGAATGGCAAAGGAAAGCTTTTTTTTTTTTTTTTTACTCCCTGAATGTCAGCAGTATGTTTGGATAAGAATAGAACCGGATGACTCTGAAATAGCACCTTTTTACTGCACATCTGTTTACTTTGAAAGTGTATTTCTTGCATTCTTACACTTGACTTGGTGACTTCATCACTTCCCTCGGGGCGCAGAATATGTAAGTGAGTCGAGACACTCAACAGGATTTCTCTCTGCACGCAAGCAGCAACTGGTAAGGGAGGGTCTACATTCGACCACAGACTTGTGGTGTTATCTGGTCTGGGTATATCTTCAGGTTATTCAAAAAACATTCACTCTGTGTGCAGGCAAAAGCAATTGCTATAATAACTGCAATTAGAATATGGAGGCCAAGTATTCCAATGATGGGTTTTTTATTTGTAGGTTTTTCCCTCAGTGTGGAAAGAATAAAATCGTAACTTTCTCCACAGCAGATTTGATACATATTAACTGAGCTTTCTGTCAAAGACCTTTAAATCTTTTAGGAGACATGAGAGACCAAATATAAAACTGTGTCATACAAAGCATCATGCAGCAAACAAAAGTAAAAAAAAAAAAAAAAAAAAAAAAAAAAAAACACATTTAGATTTTAAATTCCAAATTTGCGCATCATGAATATAACACACACAGACACAAACAATAGCACATACTGTATATGTGTAACCTATAGTGCATAGGTCTTCTGTGGCTCTGAGGTGACCTGCACAATTTACCCCTTTTCTTTTCCTAATCTGAATTCTCTGGGGGTGGCCTTTCTAAAGTCAACAGAAACAGCAAGACAGTCAGTTTTCAATATATCACACATCACACCAATCCAGATCAATACTGCTGCTGAAATTTCACATGGTTAACTAATATTTATCACTAAACTTAACTACCGCATCTTGCACTTTCTACATTGCTTGCAGCTGACTGGGACTAATATGAAACAAAGGGGTCCCTGTTGTGTCTGTTCAACCTAGGTTGGAGCCTCAGCGAAAAACCATCACTATACAAAATACCTAGCTACATCATTGATTCATTAATGATGAGCAATACCCAGCTAATGCAATAGCTAACTTACCTATTCATTAGGATGCCTGACAAGCTTTGAAGACTGTGTCTGGAGAATTCACGTTAGATTGACTTATTAGCTATTGCTAGTTTGTACATTCTTCTAACTTATAACAAAAGCAAACAGATCAATTACCTCACCTCTGTGTAACTGTGACCATCCATCATCTTTGAAAAGCATTGTTTACCAAGATGCAGTAGCTATCTCAAAGACCTTAAAGCATCTCTGGTCATACTATACGGGACATTAGTTTCTTCGGTACCCAGTGGAGCACATGTACAGTTGCCCTGAAGCGTGGTGGCCGGTCATAATAAATTGGCAGGTATGTGGAAAAACAAAGCCTAGCGTACACCCTCTGATGACGAAATTTCTGTCACGCGGACCCTTGTGGACCCTCAGGTACTCACGGATGCAGAAAGTAACTTTTGTTCAACCATTTAGCTTACAATCTTCGTGAGTGCATGTGCTGCAGCCAGTTCACTCAGGAGAAGTGGCACATGGCATCAAGGTAGCTCTACCTGGATCTCCTAACGGAAAAGCTTTTACTTAGCTGATTTCTTTGGCAAAGGCAGTGGAAACATAACAAAAGTACCAGAATGGAGTTTAAACAAAGTGAACATTGGTACAAGCCAATCTAAATGGTTACTAGTTAATCCTGTTGGGCTACGCATTTACACCGCTATGCAGGTTGTTCCACATACTGCTGTAATACCTGCTCATTAACCATTAATTACTCAGTTTGGGCATCTAATTATACAGATTATATGACAGTCTGGCAAATTACTGACATGTGAGGGGAATACTATAGAACATTGCGGCTCTGTGAGGTTGGCACCCTGTGTGATCAGGATTTGAGTGAAACTAGTTTAATTCGAGTGCGTTCACAAAATAAAAAACTGTGCATGAACCATTTTTGAGAAATTAAAAGTGTAAGTAAAAAGTAAATAACATGTCAGATACATACATTTTGACATAGGAAGGAGTTACCACGTTATAGTCATTTGAACAAAAATAGCATGCTCAAGCTGATGCTAACAAACATTTATATTTAATTATCTACCTACTTTGCCCTGTACACTTCTCTTGCTAGTCAAATTATATTTGAATTTTCCGATGAGTCTTGAAAGTCATTTTCTGAGTTGAGGTATTTCATTCAATTAACACACACATGACAAGGCGGGCATGAATAACTCTGTCTATAACACTGCATACTGTATCTGTACCTACTGTAATGCATCATGTTAGAGCATGTGATGTTTGTGGACTGGATTTTAATCTGTTATGGTGAAACTGAGGAAACTGTTACTCTTCTACCTCCACAAAACAACCTTGGTACAAAATAAAATAAAAGTGTTTCCCCATGGGATGTAAAACTAATGACCTCTCAAGTATCATAAATATACTGTAGCATATACAGGAATTCATCATCATTACTCTGCTGATGGCAGCTGACTTATGAAAAAATATACATAAAACGATTCTCTTACCAAATCCACTGTTTTCATGTATTTTATTATTCATCACATTAAAGCCCCATTTCAATATTATGGTCTTTCTTTGTTGTCTTACAAATATTAAGTTATCCACAAAAATAAAATAACTTAGATAATAACCATATTAAAACATAAAAATACATACATACATTACATTTATGACATGAAAAAAATGCATATTGCTGATATTTTCCCAGAGTTTTCCTGGACACAGTTCTGCATGTGCAAACTACTTATCAGAATCAAAATAATCTGTTACACTGGAAACATAATCCCAGATATTTTTTTTCCTCTGTTTTCAACACACAAACATAGTTGCTTGAAATAAATTACACTGTCTGATAAGGAGCCTCACTCATACAAGTTACTTGAGACCAAATACGATCTTTAAAATGTGCATAGGCAGAAATTCATATCAACTTAGTTATTTATATACTTTGAAGTTGACATCAAAATATGTCTGTTGTACACATTGAAGAATTGTGAAGAAGGTGAGTGTAGTTATATTACAAGAAGCTTACAGTGTCACACACAGTACATTGCATCACAAAACAGGAGACACTGTGATTGATGACAATTTAGGATGTTTATAGTGTGAGAAACTGAAGCCTGTTCCCGTGCACTCAGTTTCCTGAGGCACTTTCATTTTATTGATGATGTTTGTGCAGCATTATTATGTTTTATTTACAATGCAGGTCAGATCATAGTGAAGATGAAAACTGTATTTGTTAAATTAAGGAATACTGTGCACTCTGACAGTCCTCTTACGTTACATACTACACACAGACACAGACCACACATGGTGCATTCTGGATCATATTAATGCAGGACAACGGATCTGTGCTGTGTTTGAGGGAGGTCGGAAAATAAATGCACAAGCTCGTGTCAGGGTGGTTTGTGATTTTCAAATGGTATCACAAAATAAATCTTATATTATACGGGAGTAGTGCTTGTTCTTGCTCTGTTGAAAGCTGATTTGTGTGAATTTTACTTCAACATCCTCCATTAGAGGAAAGGAAATGTTTTCATTTCATTTGTCAGGGTCTGATATGAAGAATTCCAGGAAGCAGCACCAGCAATCAGTTTCAGATCAGTTCTTTGATTGGCTTTAGCTTCGGCCACTCATTCATCACGGCTGTAACGGCCTCCTTTCCACAGTGGCCATCATTTATTATAAAAGTTTGCCCCTTTCGTGCAAACTTGCCACAGGCCTTTCCAACCAAAATATATGAATGCATTTATTGAGCAATGTCATGGATTTAGCGGGGTTTGAATTATGCACACAACATAGTGATATTGATACATTTAGTGTCAGTTGAGCCAGACAAACCCCTGATGTATTCTCGGTATAACCTGATATCTGCTATAAAAATCACTAAAACTGAAACTGCCCTCGAGCAAGGCACAAAATCCTCAAGTGCTCCAAATGTGCTGTGCTAGGTCAAATCCTGTGCATTGTGAATCCTGATGTATGAAAAGGTCTATATTTGTCTCTTTGTATGTAGAAGATGGAGGCATAGCAAATACTGTGTAACTGTGTTTATGCTGTAATTTATCATACAGATTATGGAGGGACTACTGTATAGAGTATCATCTGGATTTTTGGATGTCTTCCCCCATTTTTAGGTTTCATGGGATGCAGACATTGGCCATTCCACCTTAGATATCACCGGTGCTATGAAGCAATATTATTTTCTTTCTGCATGCAATCTGCTGCTTACCCTCACCTTCCTCTTTGCTTACCTGAATCTCATGCAGCTGTGTGTCAGTCAACATACGCTGATGAAACAACAATAATTTGTTGTTCTCAGAGCTCAGATTTCATATTTGGAGTTTTCATATATTTTACCTGATAAAACTATGTTATCCTTTGTCTCAAGAGGAAGGCAGTAAACATCCAAGCTCTCTGAGTTATGGCAGCTTTAGACATATGCTGCATGTGCACACTCTTTACCAACAAGCACATCTATCTTTCTTTGCTGGCTCAACTGCTTCACACCCTGTCCTCGCTCTTCTGGAAAACAGCAGTCCACCGCAAAAAGGTACAGGGCATATATATTACAGTCATATTCCCCTTTCAAAATAATAGTCTTGATTTAAAAAAAGTCTTTTTCTTTGTTTTCTTTATTGAGTCTTTTGATGTGTGTTTCTTCATTTACAGACGCTGACCCACTCTGTTATCCTGCACTCTTCGCAGACCACATAGCAGCACCAGTGAAACTTGCAGTTGCAGCGTTCGCTCCGCGTCTGCTGCAGGATGTTGTGGCCTCTCCCGCAGCACAGACTCTCACAGTTGTCCATGCCGGGGCTGGTCTTGTTGCAGATCCGGCCCTGCGTCCCGGCCGAGTCCGACCCCAGGTCCCGCTCGCAGAAATCTGGTGACTTTTCAAAGTAGACCAGCTCATTGATGCTTGGCCGCCGCCGATGCGTGTGGTGGTGGTGATGGTGGTTGTTCTGATGGTGGTGATGGTGGTGGTGGTTGTGGTGGTTGTGATGGTTATGGTGGTTGTGGTGGTTGTTGTTGTTGTTGTGGGAGTGGTCGAGCTGTCCGGTGTTCCGGTTGTGAGCCTTGATAAGCGTGGCGATGTGGAAGCGCTCTTTGAGGATTGAGCCCACCACCCGGAACTCTGGGGTGACTTGCCAGCAGGTCTTTAGCTGGCAGCTCCCCGACGTCCCGTGGCACTTGCATTTCCTTCTCATGTGGTCAAGCACCACCTGCGAATAACAGAGACAGAGACAGACGAAAAGAGAGAGTGGGATGGAGTGAGGAAATGAGCAGAGGCGAGGGAGTCAGAAGAGGGAGGGGGAACAAAACGAGAGGGATTAAAAACTTGATTTTGATCACTGGTTGCATTTGAAATTTAATATACAGGTCCAGTGTGTTGCGTGGAGCCTGTCATATTTTATAATGTGCTGGCTTTACTTCAGTGTTTTTCATTTATTTGTACTCCTAAGCAAGCGACTGTTCCACTGTAATGCCCTTGAAGAAATTGGTCCCACATTTAAAAAGCCAGGTGGTCCAACTCTGAGCCAGTTGTCAAACATACTCATATCAAATAACACAGATGGATGCAGGTGTTACCCAAACAGATAGCATTGTCATTATTCATCTTTTGGCAGCAGTGAATTACTCCAAGCCTGACCCACATGTAGTGGCACATTAGGCATCAGAGCATTGCAGTATTTACATATTTTCACTTTAATGGTTTAATGCTGGCCAATGAGAACACATGGATATTAAAAGTGATAATATATTGTTTTGGTTTTATTATATTTATGGAAAAAGCATGAAATAATGGATGGAAGCCATTTTCACACACAAGTTGGGGTTGTTCATCTTAAGGCTCACTGTAGGCCCTGGTATGTGGGACTACTACACTATGCAAAAAATTCTTATACAGGTTCTACAAGAATGTTTTTGATGTCTACAGTACATCTGCATGCATAAACAAGCACAAACACAAAGCGTCCTGTTAGAGCATGACCAACACTGCAGGACCAACCCACTCTTTGTCAGTGAAACACACACACACACACACACACACACACACACACACACACACACACACACACACACACACACACACATAACCACATGTACACACAGGTACATCCCACATTGCATAAACCCTGTCCACCTCAGTACGGTTCTTCAAGGCTGTATATATGCATGTGTGTACATATGCATGTGTGTTTGTGTGCGTTTATCAGTCAGCACTTATTCTAAACTTTAAGATCCAATTACTAACAGGAACACAAGGCCACCCAGAGTACTGACAGATGCTGCTGCTGCAGCCCCTATCAACACATACACACACAAACACACACACATGCAGCACACTTGCGCAGTTAAACACATTCCACACATGTGCTAGCAATAATGCTACACTCCACAGACACACAAAAAATGTGACTGTCACCCACACACTCATCCACACAGGTTAAGACAGAGGTAGCAGACATACCGGTATGACCAATTTAAGGGGATAAGGGCAGGAGCTTTGTGGCTGTATAGGTGCGTTAAGACGTTAAACAAATTGCTTGTCATGCATCTATTAATTGTAACACTTTCCCAAAGTCAAGGTCAATTTGGACAGAGGCCAAAAATGAGATACTTCACTTTTTGTTTTCTTGTTTGACTCCACCTTTCTCAGGGGGAAAGAGCAGGTTGTTGAATAATGTAATACTGGGTACTGTGCTTGGTTAGTGTACTCTAAGGCTCAGCTCCATGCTGTACAGTGGGTTTCCCGATTCCTTGTTCCGGGACATGAATGAGCAGAAAGGTGGATGAGAGAATGAAACTGTGATAAATGCAGCTACTTGCCTCATCTGTTTGGAATGAACAAGTGAAAAGTAGAGCAAAAGATCTGTTTGCCACAGAGCCAAAGTTAATAGGGATCGGCCATGGTTAACAACAACAAAAAATGTAGTAAAACAAATAAATCAAGTTACAGTTGCAAAACCGGTGGAGCCTGAATTATGAATTATGATGCATCCAAATTATTAAAGCAAAACTGCTTTGCTCAGACTTAAAGGCTGTGCAAATGTTCTAATGTAAATATCGGTTTCTTACTTATTTAGACACATTTACCCACTCTTTGTAAACATATACTGTATATTTATGTTTGGACATATATTTATGTTACTATCATTCATCAAACTTGCCAGCAATGTAGAGCACTTCAGACGATTAAATGTTAGAAACTGATGCTGTTGCTTAAAATCATTTAGATTATTTTATAATTATGCAAAAGAATGAAGAACATTTCCAGTCTTTTAATCATTGCATCTTTTGTTCAAAATGTTTGTTAGGATAACAGAAAGTGACTAAAGGGTATGCGTTTTAGATAAACATGGTTCCTCTGTAACTGAGTGTGTTGAAAAGAACGTTTAAAGAAACTGTGATCGGTTGTGAGGAGATACTAGAGGCTGTAAGACTTTATAGTAAACAACACTATAATAGCTCAAACAGCACTTGCACTGAGTTCAGATTGCAGCTTTCGGTTCAGTTTTTACATAAAGGCAGAGGCAACCCCAGAATCACAAACGTACTGGCCTTAAACACACAGCAAAGTCTGTAATCATAAAACGCTCGAACCCACTTAAACCTTAAGGAGACAAACTGACCAAGGAGTCATAATTGCATCCACATTGCTACTGTTTGATGGTACTTTCACAACAGGATAAGGGTTTCAAAGGACAGTAAAACAACAAAAACAGCTAAAAAGTGGGATGTCTAATGACTGTTATATTGTTGCAGGGTAAAAAATTAAAACCTCTGGGAGATTATGAACCACAGCATGTCTCATATTTTTTATGTGTATCAGGATGTAATATGTTCTCGCAAAAAAACTGTGAACTCCACAAAACCATTGCTTTCCAGTAGTTCAGCACGTCTGGTCTCCATACCTCATGTTCAGAATGCAGCAAACTTCAATTGAGTGTTTGCTAAATCCCTCCCCCAAACAGAAACTGTCCAGTTAGGTATTGCAGCTGTCAAGGTTTTCTTTCTGGATGGTGTCTGTTTTAGCAAAAACTAAAAGTACAAAAGCAATATTTTATGAAGTTATTTTAAACAGTGTTTTTAGCTGCTCTAACATAAATTTTCATTGTTAATGAAAGGAGCACATCATTACTAACTACTGTAGATTTTGTGGGGTTACAAGCTCTACCACATCCACTTTGTAACACTGTATGACTTGGTTGTTATCAGAGTTAAGGCTAACATTAGCATCTATATCCTGTTCTTTATTGGTTTTGTAGAACTTTTCACTCTAGTGAAAAGTCAATGTTATTCAATGGAGTGTTATGTTTGCCATGTCATTCTTATGCTAAAAGATTTTTCTTGTTTAGCATAGCTACACAAACAAGTATGCAAGCTTAACAGCCATATTTTAGAACAGACTTCAGTTAATTCTTACTCTCTATTATACTTATAAAATAAAATATATTATTCATAACAATTATTATCATATATATATTTAAATCCCTTTGTAAGATTCTCATTTTAGTGGACATCAGCTGGAACGATTTCATCAAACTCACAGAGCTAGCCTTAGTTTAATTAGCTAGCTAGAAATGATTTTCAGCAGGTAAAATTGAAAATTGCTGACTAGAAATGAGAGGGCAGCCATTGTTTCAAAAATTACCAAATAAAAGTTTGAGTGAAATCTTCCACTCATTTTTTTTTTTTTTTTACACTAATTCTTTTCTATTGTTTCAAAAATTAATTACAGTTTTTGTCACTATATGAGGATACTGCTGCATCCTAGAAGTTTGATTTGTTTTGTCACACACAGCCAATCAGGTTTACAACTTGTTGCTACTCAGCTAAAATCCAACCTGTTAACAACTGACAAGACCTGAAGCAGTTGTTGAGATTTACAGGGAAATAGCACTGGATTTAAAATTCAAACAGACATCTGCCAATTCAACATCAGAGGAATAACTGATGAGTTCTGTTTTAGGGTGGAATTATCCCAACACTAGTGCTAGTGCTTTTGGTGTGTGTGTGTGTGTGTGTGTGTGTGTGTGTGTGTGGCAAATATTCCTTTGACATGTAGTTGAAAGGCGCAACAGGTACAATCCAGACCCTTAATAGGAAATAGGGAAGCTGTCTGCTCTTGCTATATTATTAGAAGTGGTCTGTCAGTATGACATGTGAAGTGCTGATCCATCTGACAAAAGAGCCAGGGGAAACAGCAGTTAAGAACATTTTGTACAAGTAGACTACAAATAAAGACAGAGCCCCTGATTTAACATGACATAATGAAAAGCAACACAGCATTCTGGATTTAATTTCAATTGACAAAAGTTTACATTTTTTGACAAAAGTTCAAATGCATGGCTCTGGTTATAATAATGAACTGAAGGAAAGAATGAAACAGAAAGAAAACATAAGATCATTTACTTGTAGATGTATCCTGTTTTTAGACGGTCTTTGGTCTTACTAATCTAACATAATACACTTCCAAATCACTTTTTAAAACACTTTGACAGTATTTTCCCAGATCTAGACCACTCTAGTCAGGCTGGATACATGATCAGATGAAAGGTTGTGATTTTCTGGCTTCTACCTGGGGCAATGTGTTGTGTAATAAAGAGAGAGAGAGAGAGAGAGAGAGAGAGAGAGAGAGACAAAACACAGAAAAATGTGTGTCTGTGTCTTTGTCTGTGTTTACTATATCTGACTTGACTACTGTGGAAAAAAGGAAGAAAAGTGATGCATGTGATTTATAGTTGCCCTGTTGTAGATCTCGAGAATGAGCCCTGAGGACATGGAGGACAGGTGGAGGAGGAGCTGGGTGGGGGAGCTGCAGGGGGCTGTACAGTACGGGGGAAGGGAAGGGAGGGGAGGGCAGAGGAAAGGAGAGAGGAAAAGAGGATGACAGGAGGAGGAGATGATCTTTAGATGATCTTTAGATCCCCTCCACCGCTTGATACGCAAAGGCTGTTCATGTGTGTGTGAGGATTGCAAATCACCTGTGTGTCTAGCTGGTACTCTATCTAGGCTCTATCATCATGTCCTGCTGCTACTAGCCATTTCGATTAGATTATAATCAGCAGCCCTACCTGACCTGACATCAGCTGATTGTTGTGGCAAAGGGCAAGGGAAATGTAGAAAGATTGTAGGTCTTACACAACCTGAGTCACAAGCTATAAAAAGCTTGCTTGAAAAGAACACTTTGTATAACACACTTACTTTGAGCTGCGGT